TTGGTGGGTTGGTGATTGGTGGGTTGGTGATTGGTGGGTTGGTGATTGGTGGGTTGGTGATTGGTGGGTTGGTGATTGGTGGGTTGGTGATTGGTTGGTTGGTGATTGGTGGGTTGGTGGTTGGTGGATTGGTGATTGGTGGGTTGGTGATTGGTGGGTTGGTGATTGGTGGGTTGGTGATTGGTGGGTTGGTGATTGGTGGATTGGTGATTGGTGGATTGGTGGATTGGTGATTGGTGATTAGTGGATTGCTGATTGGTGGATTGCTGATTGCTGATTGGTGGATTGCTGATTGGTGGTGGGTTTCGTGTTCACGTTGCAAAATTGTTAAGCGGAAAAATAGTAAGGGCGAAATTGGTTCTCTCTCAAGTTCTGCGCCCAAAGAACTTCGCACATAAAATGGTCCAATCTTGAGTCCAGAGATTGAACCCCAAGATGAATCGCCCGTCCTAAAACAATTTTGGTCAGGTTTTTCCGGGAGTTTGAGGTATAAAAGACGATGAAATTGAAAAACTTTCTACTATCTTTATATATATCGACGACATGGGATACCATAGGGGAACTTTATAGAAAAACAAAGGCGCGCGCGAAAAAATGTCCTAGTACAATTTTGTTGATAAACTCGCTCGTTCATATCATAGAGGACATTGTCTTGACCTCGAATACAAAAAGAATAATTAATATCGATCTTCACCTCTCATTTTTATCTAAATTGGGCACCCTGTGCTGTAATTTTTGGGGTTATATGTTTTCGATCGTAAAAACTCTCTTACCACATTTTCCCTCGTCGCTGTTGTCATAACAGTCATCCTCTCCATCGCAAATGTAGATTTTGTTTATGCAGTTTTTATTTTTGCACAAAAACTCGTGAGCATCACAAAAAGTGTCTAGCGAAGAAATACAAAATAATTATAATCCGGGCTGCATCACACCTTAGAGTAAGAGGGCAAGGATAAGAAGTGTCAGGAGAGCAGAAGCAATCAATTATTATATTCCTCTTCTAAAAACAGTTATCTAAGAAAGAAATTAAGATAGAAAATGTTATCCCTACTTACAAGGATGACTCTCGTTTATTAACTACTAACTACAGCTTTCTGTATTCAGTAAATTTTTTGAAAAACTAATGTACACAAGACTAATGACTTTTTTAGTGAAGACAGAAAAGTCTCTATAATAAATAATTTGGATTTCGCTGTGATCAAAGTACTTCACATGCTATTCAAACAGCAACTGTAGTTATTGGGAGTGGAGTTTCTCTTTTTTTTGTTAGATTTCGGTAAGCCTTCGATCGATACGTATTAATCATGACATTTTTATCAATAACAAACCTCTAGAAAACAAACAACTGAAACCTCGGTTTTATATTAAATCATCATCGTACTTGGAAAAGTCATTTTCAATGTATTTCCAAAAACATCGCAAGAGGTACTGAAATCTTATCTCGTATAAGACACTTCACTAACATTAATGTTTTATTACAACTTTATTATTATTATTCTCTTATCTACCCTCACTTTAATATGGAATCATAATCTGCCGAAATACTTATAAATCTGCAATCTTTTTTCATCTTAAAGAAACGGCAAAACGTCTGATTACTCATTCTGACTTTAATCAACCTTCTGATCCCAGAGGAGAATCCAGGTTTATCCCATCATGCATTGCCAGTGATACATAACATCTTTCATTTAAACAGCTATAAATTAATATTTTCGAAATTGAAAAAATCAATCTTATCTTGGCAATAAGCTGATGGGCCCATTTGAGATTAAAAGGCACATGAGGGTTAATTATAAGATTGAGTCAAGGACGGGTAAGCAAAAGGTGGTAAACCACAAACATCTCAAACTTAGCTATATTCCCTTTAGGATAGGAGAGATTATTTGTCCCGCGAGAGAATTCGACGAATTCAAGTTTGTTGATCAGTGTGACACGCCTAGACGTGACAATATATGCCACACGGGCAAGACCCCAGGGACTTAGACAAAAAATCCGTCCAACAGTCCGTTACGATATAACCTATGATATTATAGAATATAGTTAAATTACAGAATTTGAATGTTACGAGTGAAAGCAGTCCTATTTTTCGAGCCCGAGAAAAAATACTGCTTCACGAGTAAAATTAGAATGCGGCTGCAATACAAAAAAAAATTTCCTCGTGCTGACATCAGCAATAAAACTTGTCAAAACTTGTTCACAGACCTTGCATTATTGCTCTGTAATTGCACCCGAAAAATGGCTGTAGTACACGGGAAATTGAGTGTGTCGTATAATAAATGACTTGTTTTCAATTGAAAGGCAATATTCCTGGGATGATCTATGCTTGCCATATATGTAGCCATGTGTGTGGTCATTCTCAAGATTACTTGAAATGTTTCAATGATATCTTATTTTTACATTCCTTATCATAAGGCGTAAAAAGCGGCAGGTACAAAACGCAGACCAAAAAATGCAGAATGAGAAAMAGACCGTTTTTTTGTCAATTAAGGGATAAATAGATTTTATGAAAACCTAATAAGTGTTAATTATACAAAATAATAATAATCAACATCATCATCCTCATCATCCTGATCATCATCAACAACAACAACATCATCAACATCATCATAATAGTGATAATAATAATCAACATCATCATCATCATCCTGATCATC